GACAGAATCATAAAAGGCATCGAAACTCTTGACATTTCTCAGCTTTCGATCTCTTATCAACTCTCGAAGTTCCACCTAAGTTCATTTGCGCAATTCTTCTTAGTATCTCCTCCTTCGGTCCCCACGTTGGGCGCCGTTTATATTTTTTATGTGACATATAACATTTTACAATCAGTTTTCTTTTCATTATTTGGGTTAATTTTTGCTGTCAATGCTATAGTTCCAAGTCTTGGTATATTCAAAATACATTTCAGTATCTCTTAACGCATTTTTTATTTGTAACTTGTTCAATACAATGCATTCTCTCACATTGGCCAAAATATTAAAAAATGTTGTTTCCTTTCAATGTTCGATACGATCCTTTGGTGACGGTCCATTCATCCGTTCACCAAGTCAAGTACTCATTCATTCATTAATGTCACAATGTACTAAAATCATGACCACCACCAATAACTACATTCCCACTCATTCTCCTTCATAAACTCGCTCGCTCGCTCCCTCACTCACTCACTCGCTTACCCATTCTCACACATTATGTGACAAAATATCTGATGTCGGTCGTCCAATAATGATATTGAATGACAATTTATACCTACTGTCTGTTAGTAAGATTGACTGGCTGGCTGTCTGTCTGCCTGCCTGTCCAGCCATTCGCAGTATGCGTACCAGTTAAGTACAAACACACACATTCACATCGACGACGCCGAATATTTTTGGTCAGGACACAAGGGTAGTAAACTACAAAACTGATTTACAAAACTGACACTTCGTCGTATCATCCAACAACGAAGAGGGGCATACGTCACAAATGAAGGGGGATGGGTTATCACTATAGTCTTGAGCTGGTTCATCCACTAGTTTGTTTTTGTTGTTTTCTGTGTTGTTTTTTCGTGTTTCTTTTATTTTATTTTGTAAGGGACAATATTCTTATTGTCATGTTATGTGTTGTTGTTGTACTTGTTGTTTGTGGTTGTTGTCTTTTTAATGATCAACGTATTTGTGTTACAGGCTGGTACAGTGAATTATTACCAATGGAAATTTTTATTAGAAAATATTTATCATATTCTGAAAATATATAAAATGTACTTTTTACAACGGTACTATTTGCTTCACCTGGAATGAGCCGAGATCCATCCTCCTATATTTTGCGAAGACTGGAATTATTAGAGGGGGTTATAAGAGGGGGTTTCATCCCTCTTATAAAGAATGGAAAAATAAGTTAATATGTAGAAAGAAAAGGACCTTAATTGGATAGTACTAAATATTATCTCAATCGAAAAAACCTAGGGTATTTTACCTATGTCGAAAATATTTATGGGAACTATATCTTAATCTGAACAAATTCTAACAATACTGCACGAAAGTGGACAAAAATATACTAAGTGAGCTATATCTAAATCTAAACACTGTGCAAAATTTCAATTAGACAAACTGTGGGTTTTTAGAGATTCGTAATAAAACGGCACGAAAAGTACTAAATGTGGTACCATTTGTATTTAGCGAACCAGTAGAGCTAGAACTCTTAAATTTGGAATGAGGGTCACTGATCAAAGGTTTTTTGGAAATTTGAATAAAAAGTACTAAGTACTAGATTAATAAGTACTAAGTTCTAGAATAATAAGTACTAGTATTAAAATGTACTAAATATGGTAAAATTTTGAAATTCGCATATATTTACTTCAAGGTGTGTAAATTCGAAAAGTACTAAATGGAATAATAAGTATTAAGATACTGGAAGAACCGATAGAGCTGGAACAATGAAATTTGGAAATAAGATTCCTAGTACAATTTGGATTTGGGTGAACTGGAATCCTGATATTTGGAAATGCGATTTCTATTGGATTGTTGAGGTAATTTATTTTAATGCGTAATCAATTTTGGTAAAATGCAGGTTTGGGTGAACCTATAGAGCTCGAATCATGAAATGTATAATTAGTTTTGGAAATAAGTACTACAGCAGTACAAAAGTACTAAATGTGTTTATTGTACAGAGTGTCATTTCTGTTCTCATTTGCATCTCGTATGACCCTTTCCAGCATGATGTTGAAACGGTCACGCGACAAACTGTGACCTTGTCGGAATCCTCGTTCGGTATTGAAGGGATCTAAAAGGCCCATTCCGACTTTAACTGCTTACCTTGTGCCAATTAAAGTTATCCTGCATAGCCGTATTAATTTCGCAGGAATCCTAAACGCATAAAATACCTCTAAGCAGATTAGGCTGTCGAATGCGACTTTATATGCGACGAATAGATGAAATATGTCGATATGTTTTTCGTGAGTCTTTTCAGGGTTTAACGCAGTGTGAAAATCTGGTCTATGGTAGACTTGACAGGTCTGACCATAGGCTTCAGCACGCTGAATAGCACTTTATGAGAGATGGGAAGGAGAGTGAATCGTCTATAGTTGGCACATATCGTCTTGTTCCTTTTTTGTGCAAGGGACGCAGGATTCCAAATTGTACTAATGAGTTGGTACATCCTCCTGATCTGCGTTTGACCACCGGCCTTGAATAATCCATCGACACCTGTTGCTTAATTAGTCGATTAATTGCTATTGACCTCATCTTGGCTAGGTGCTATACAATCTATACCGTCATCTCTTAAGTTGAGCGGAGTAGGTTTCTGATATCTGTTGCGTTTGCAGTTTTTCAACGTCGAGTCTCTATATAAAGACGATCGAACGTCTAAAACCCTGGATGAATGCCCTCCGTCTATCACAACATGATCAATTTAATTTCTCGTTGCTTGATCGCAAGAAATCCAGGTGGTCTTGTGTATATCGAGATATTTGAATTTGGTGCTGCAGTTTTTGCTGCTGCGAAGATGTTTCTTCATGCATGCTGAATTTTCCAACGGTGGGGCCAAAAAAAATCCCTTCCGATTATTCCATTGAAATCTCCTAGCAGAATTTTAATGTCATGTGCTGTTTCTAGACGCTTGTAAAATATGTCTTTGGTCTGTTCATGTTTGACTTCCGTCGGAGCATGGACACAAAGAAGCAAGGACGAGGTATTTCATCGCATTCTCTGTAAGGCAATAATATCGTTTTTGCACTTCTTGAGTACATCCTGTGCACATTCCAAGTGCAGATTCGCAGATGGTGTCCTTTATACGTATGCGAGGGTCATCAACATTAGAGTGGTTTGGTTTTCTTTTTCTTTGGAATTTTTCCGAGTGTGGGCAACTAACCCGACGCCTCAACCCATTTTTATAGTTCTTATGGGTGAACTTGCGGCACATATCAGCTCACTATTTCAACGGATGATGAAAGTAGCTACCCCAGGTAACACCGCGGGGAGGTCAGTGTCCACAATTGAGATGAAATATACCAAGATAAGCTTGAGCTTTGCCATGTTAAAGCCAATCAGAGCTGTTGCTTAGTCTCTATCACCCCTACGTCTTTCATTGTACCAAATAAATATATAGGCGAATTTTCCAACCGCCTAGGACCATGAAAACACATAAAATTGGGCGGAATCTTTATATGGAGGCTATGACAAAATATGCAACTATATTGACAACTTTCTGTAAAGATGGTTTCCACCCTTCTAGAACCCAGAATGTCAAATTACATTTACTTCGATTTATAAATGTGTCAAAAACTTTGAAAATTCAGATATGAACATTGATTTGCATTGACATATTTTTTGCGAAGATGTTTTTTTTTATTATGGGAGTCATGTCGGAACATTATGCGAAGTTTTGTACACACCAAAAATCCTGAGTACAACCACTTTAGCAAGAAAATGCGCCTGGGATCACGAAAATATTTTCCAAAATTACCCAAATATCGGAATTTGGTTGCTATGTCAATACGTGGACCGATATATGCCCTTTTTAACACCAAACATCCTAGGAGTAGTATGTTCAAAATGTCAGAGCTTTATCTTATATATTGTGATATTTATCGTGCTTTAATCAACCGGACAGATAGGGCTAAATGAGCATAGAAATTTATTTATTAAGATCAATAATATATTTAATATACACTCCATCTATGATGGTATGGTTATAATACCTTATCATCTTATGATTATAATAAAAATCATTGTCAAACTCCTCATCAACCCTCAGATAAAATAAAATGTCAAAAGAACTTACCACCTCACCGAATGCTGTATTTTCTTGTGTTAACAAACATAGTGTGTGTGAGTTTGTATGTGTGCATTACTTGCGTTCGCTGTATTTGTGTATGAGTGTGTCTTTCCTTTTTTTATATTTGTCATTGTTGTCGCTTTACGGCACAGTCGGGCGAAGCACTGCACGCGTGCACTCTCGCGAGAGTAAGTATCACTATTCTCTCACACACATTCAACTGAACCAATTGAAAAACCATTGACACACACACAAAGACAAGTGCGTGAGAACAGAATTTTTTATGCTCTGCCCGTGCCTGCTTTACGGCATAAAGCACAGTCAGGCAAACAACCGCACGCGTGCACTCTCGCGAGAGTTGTGCGTGAGAACAGAATTTTTACGCTCTGCCCGAGCCTGGCATAAAGAGCCCATTGCACACTCTTACAAACCGACAGACACAACCAACGTACACATAAACACAAACATACACACACAGTGACAAAATTCACTGCCCATCAATAGCCTGCACTCGAAATAGTTTTTCTGAATCGATCTGAAACTTAAATTTAGTTGCTGTCTTTAGTTCGTCGTTGCAAGTTGTTCCTTAGTTAGAAAACACATTAAATCGAAACTGATTGCAAAAAAGAAATAAAATAAAGAAACAAACAACAAAATTAATACACAACACTTACACACAAAATCTTCATAAATTATATTTAAATAAATTTAAACAAAAAATATATATTATTAACGCGTAACGGTTCTATTTAAAAATTTTATTTAAAAAATAAATAAACACAAAAAGTGAAAAATATCCATTAATTTAAAATAAATATTTAAAGAATAAAATAAAAAAATATTGAAGCACAAATATTTTACATAACTAAAATCCCCAAAAATAAACAAAAAAATACCATCTAGAATAAAGGAATAAATAGCTGAGAATATTTTTTAATTATGGAATACCATTTGTTAACAAGGTGGGTTTGAAAAATTACAAAATAATAATTGTGAATTATTAAAAAAAATGTTGTGAAAAATTAGTTGTAAAATTGCAAAATAAAAGTCCGGACTTTACAATAAGTGTGCAAAATAAACCAAGACATCAAAAGGAATACAAATAGTGTTTTTATATTAATAATTATTTATTAAAGCTTCTGCAGTTTGAATTTTTCGAAATTTTCAAATAACTTTCCAAATCTAAATATTTTATTAAATGTTGTGAATTTATTACAATGGACATAAGGACTAAGTGATAATTTGCTGATACCCTTTCGAACTAAAAATTGTACATTTAAATAAATATGTTCAACAGTTAATTTGCAACAAAAACGTCAATATTTTATTTTTTTTTTAATACACGTTCATTAAAATTTTGTTAAAAAATATAAACAAAAATGATTAAAATGATCAGAAAATTAAGGTTAAAATATTTCAACATTTTAGCCAAAAAAAAAAAAAAAAAACCTCTTTTGGGTGTGGTTAAAACGAGTTGAACTTCCATAAACTTTAAACAGAAATTTATCAAATAATTATTAGTTAGGAACAGTCTTAAATAATCTATCTTCAAAAAAAAGGTAAAATTAAAATTCCTACACGAAATTCTCCATGAAAAAGAATCAAACACTATTATTTCGATAATTCTCAGGAAAAAATTGGTAGCATGAACGCTTACAAACTTGAACTTGCAACCAAAAATAGATTCAAATAATGAAAAACTTGTTAATCCACAAACATGTTAAAAATCCTCAAAATGCCGAAAATTAGGAGGAATCGTTATATGTGGGCTATACATAAAAGTTCATAGATATTTGTAATATGTGGTAGGAATATATTCCTATCAATTAGGTTCGAAAATAGTAACCAAAAATGTTCATATTTGGCCAATCATGAACAGTTGGTATAAAACTAGGGGGAGATGACCATAAAGTAAGAGCACAATAGCGTGACTACTATTTTGATAATTCTCAAGAAAAAAGTTTGTATGCATGAACATAATAAAAAAGATTTTTATTTCAGCCGGTCCAAACTTTTTATATACCCCATCATATTTTGAGGAACAATTACCTCCAATAAAATGTCCAACCCAACACGAAACAATACTACACAGCCGCGAACGATTTTAGGATCTTCATATTCGGAATATAACAAAAAGTATATTTTTTAACCCAGAGGAAAGTACTACATAGCAAATTAATATGTCTGCAAATAAAACGTCCCGTCTGCCCCAATGATAGCCTTGTATTTCCATTTCTTCCGAAGTTAGCATGGTGAAGTCTGCCGGCCCGAACGCAGTGTGACTAAAACTATAAAGAATATTACAAAAATTAGGACCACCTTACAGGTTAGAAGAAATGGTAAATTTCAACCAACTTTTCAATGAAATTCTAACGATACTACGAATTATATTATACTTCCGCTACTTCCTATGTAATGAATAATTGGCGGAATAGTTATATCCCCTATAGGGTAAGTGCACCAATAGTCGGCACTTTAAGAATTTTCTTTTTAAACGTTGCACCATTTCATGTGCATCTTTTCCACGATATAATATCACTGTGCGACACGAAAATTTTTCAGGGGTTCTAATGTACCAATTCTGTTTAGTTTGAGTCCCTGGACCACGAAAATACCTTTGGTTTTTCTGGGTCACTTCGAAATTTAATTTTATAACGGTAAATATAGAGAAAAACGTGGTTTCATGGATTTTCCATTTGAAACTTGAATAGCTTATTTACTTTATAACGGATTTATATTATTCTTTTTTTCTTTCGAATAGTACAATTTTTCCTTTCAAACAAGATATATATTTGGTAAATCGGTTGAGGATTGATTGAGTTATAGCGGTTGAAATGTGAAAAAATACGCATAAAATGACAAAATTTTTTTCTTCGGACTGTACGATGAAATTATGATATCAAACCATAAATTTTTTATTATATTACGGGGAAGAAAATTAAATTAGCTTTCGAAAATGATAAAAATTCTCTAAAGGAACTATGGGTCTATCTCGTTTCCTTTTGCCAGTTACAAACATAACGGTTTGTAACAGGAAACGATACAGACCCATATTTCCTTTAGAGAATATGCATAGAATCAATACAAAAATGTGTATAAGTCATCCATTTTTTAACCGATTTTTTTGATTTTTATCATTTTCGAAAGCTAATTTAATTTTCTTCCCCGTAATATAATAAAAAATTTATGGTTTGATATCATAATTTCATCGTACAGTCCGAAGAAAAATAAATTTTGTCATTTTATGCGTATTTTTTCACATTTCAACCGCTGTAACTCAGCCAATACTAAACCGATTTACCAAATATATATCTTGTTTGAAAGAAAAAATTGTACTCTTTGAAAGAAAAAAAGAATAATATAAATCCGTTATAAAGTAAATAAGTTATTCAAGTTTCAAATGGAAAATCCATGAAACAACGTTTTCTCTATATTTACCGTTATAAAATTAATTTTCGAAGTGACCCAGAAAAACCAAAGGTATTTTCGTGATCCAGGGACTCCAAATAAAAAGAATTTGTACATTAGAACCACTGAAAAATTTTTTTTTTTTGTTATTTTGTAGCACAGTGTATTTAGCTTCATCTTTTTCGAAACTTTATTTAATCCCCGATGGAATACAAATTTGTTTAATAATTTGTATTTAAGTAGATAAAATTAATAATTATTTAAAATAGTGCCTTTGCACCAATAGTCGCCACTTTTTTCCAATAGTCGGCATGTTATGTACCAGTAGTCGGAATGTCGCATTTTAGTTTAACAAAAAGTATATATTTATTCAATTTTTTTGCTATTTGCCATATCAAATTATTATTATGGAACGTTCCCATCAGTGTTGTATTGAAAATGTTATATAAAATAATATTATTTATTAAAATATTACAATTATAAAACATGGTGCCGACTTTGGGAACCTGTTATCCAATTCTCGGCATGACTAAATAAGGCATTTCAAAGGTTAAAATAATTTAAGATTAAAACGAAATTTTCCATTATGTAAAACCACTCAAAACTGATTTTTTTATAAATTAATCGTTATTAAGAGCACTTATTTAACATTTTTCCAATTTTGAAAAGGTGATTATTATTCACCCATATGCTATACTATAGGAAAACCTTAAACATGTTTGTTCCTAAGGGTGACATCGATAAAAATATAATTAATACAAATATTTTTTAATTCTAAAGTATTCGCCTCTATGTTCTTTACAATTACGAAGAAGATCCTTGTAAAAATATACAATTTTAATAAAATTAAAATTCTTTTAAAATTGACATGCCCACTATTTTTTTCTTAAGAGACATGAATTATCGCTAGTGTTGACAAACCTCATTGAACAAATGCCAAATTTTGACTGAATAAATGTACTTAGCTCGATTAAATTTTATACAGAGATAGGTTGCAGTGTTATTGAAAATTATTAAAGGTATTTTTCATATTTACTTATAGGAATTTTTAGTTATTTGAAGTTATATAAAACAGATGCCGACTACTGGTACATGCCGGAATTAGGTGCGTTTACCCTATATGCTGAAAAAAAGTAGACATTTATAAACAATTTTTCCACAATGCTTGTGGATCCGGCAACCCGCATATGGGGGCTACCTGGAAAAGTAGATGAATTTCTGGCATTTTTGGTAAGAAGATTTTGCAGATAGTGAGGGAGCAGATTACTGAGGAAGCAAATCAAAAATGTCAAATTAGAGAGGATTCGGTTGAAAACAATGTCCAAGATCCTCAAAATACGGAAAATTGGAAAGCATCGTAATATGAGGGCTATATCTAATAATATTTTCCACGTAATGAGAAGATAAAATATCAAATTTAAAAACGTGTAAAAATTCTTCAGATTTGGGGATAACGTTATAGGGAGGATTATCGTGAAGTCATATAACCCATTTTCAAACGTGACCTGATTTGGAGCCAACTAAATGAAAAAAATTCAGTATTCTTTCCTATGGTAGATAACTGATTACAACAGACGGACAGACAAGCCTACAACGGATATATGGAGTCGGAAATTAATATTTCGATGAGTTAGAAACTCTTGATCTTTGGTGGATGGTATAAAAATAAAGAGGAGATGACGAACAAGAGTTGAAACACCACGAAATACTTGATCTGCTCAGTGCACATATCGATTAACTCCTAAGACAAAAATGATAGTGTGCAATGAACGCCACATTTGAAAAAAAAATAAATCGGCTAAATAACTTTGCGGGTAATGTAGACCACTTAGACATAAAAAAACAGGATATGGGTTGCCTGTGATAAATTTATATTTATTTCAATAGCCCCCATTTAAGGGTACCGCCCCATTGGCGGTATTTTAAAGGTCCTACTTTCATTATCCAACCGAATTCGCATATTGAGTTCTGCGAGGAGGTGTTCTACCTCGCAGAAATGTTTCGAACTAGTCCCCATGAAGAAGTCTCAAATTTTTATAGTGGTTCACATTACCCGACTTTGACTTTTTATTTAAAAATAATTTTCGACTTAAAAAATAAATAATAATTAAAACTCCCCGATTATAGTTACAGCTAAACGTATATCATTGTTTTAGAAAATAAAGTTTTTTTTTTATATTTGAGAAAAACAAAGTGTTCAATTTTCAATATCATATTTGATGTTAGTTTTCACTAATTAGGAAAACATATGTCAAGGCGGATATGGGTGGTCTACATTATCCGAAATTATTCTATATATTCTTCATCATGACATAAGTTAATGTCGAGAGTTCACAATATTTTAGATAGAGCTTTGAGATTTTTTGAGATACAAATCTAAGTTCAACAATTGGCTGTTATATGATATTTTGGGTTCTCATTGGGCGTCAAATCTTATTACCAAAATGATAATTATTTTAGGTTAGGCCCTCATAAACCGGTACTTCGAAAATTCAACCAAATTGTGCGTAATTTAACATTATTGATTCACATTGAAATTGACTGCAAATTTATATTTTGGGTTATCATTATTGGAAAATCTCTCTACCAAAAATTGTCCATATCGACCCAATTTTCAATATTTTGAAACTTTCAAACATGCTTTTCAAACGTGTCGTATCAGATTTAAAAATGTCCCAGCATGATTTCCAACCTGAGTATCTGTATTTTTAGGTCTCTTTTTCCCTACCAGCAATTTACAATCCTGATCCGATAACCGAATTAATAAACTGTAAAAAACAAATTATTTCTGTACATTATGTTTACATAGACTCTAATAACTAATAGTTCCAGTAATTAAAAATTGGCGGAATATTTATATCTTTGTGTAAAATTATGAAAATGTCAATGAGGTTCACAAAAAAAGTAGTGCAGCGTAGATTTAGAAATATTTTAAATCATCCGAATTTTGTTCCTAATAGTAATGAACACACATAAAAACACGTTAGAATTTAATACTAGTATAAAATATTTATAATTTAATATGTTTTAATGCCGCATGTACGTGAAAATGAGTTAGAGATTAAAAAAAAAAAAAAAAACAATAAAATATTGGTCTGTAGGTTTATTCTCTAGCTTCGAACTAATTGTTTAGTTTACAACAATTTTGTTTTTATTTACAAAACAATAGTGATAGGTGTTAAAATTTACTAAATAAGCTTTCTTCTATTCTCGTACTGAAATAACTATAAATTTGTAAAGGGAAAATAATTTTGGGTTTGCGAAAAGAATATATTCCTACAATAAAAATTTAATAAAAAGAGAATAAAAAAATTCGAAAATAACTTTAATGCAATTTAATACCAAAAACATACACTCCTATTGACAAAAAATTACGTTCTCTCTCTTTCTTTATTTGCAACAAATACATAATGCAAAACTAAATGCAATTTTTAAATTTTTATTGATATAATTTGTTTCGTTACATTTATCCACAATTATTTTATCTTTATTTTCAGTTGTACACAAATAACAAATTATGAAACGTAAAAAGTATCAAATCTTACATCGATCCCAACAACAAACAGTAAGACTACAACAACCTGCTAAAGGAGTCATGTCATGGGATTGCTATATAAAAGTTCCAAACTCTTGAAAATAATTCTGGGTAAGTAGGTGAATAATAACGATATATGTATGTAAATAGAAAAATTAAAGCAATAGATGCGTACATTTGTATATGTGCAGTGGGTGGATTATTTAACAACGTTTATTTTTTCTTTGCTACAAAAATATTTAAAGTTGAACACAAGAATTATTTATTTTTCTCTAGTTTTATTTTAATTACCATCAAAAATATGTGTTAATAAAAATATAGTATAAGTTTAATAAGACATTTTAAATTAATTTCCATTCCAATATTCTCATAACTTCCAATCAAATATTTTAACCCAATAGAATATTGATTTGTTTGTTTGAGAGAGAGGGAGAGTGAGTTTCCTGTTTGCTAGTTGAGTTTCGAATACACCAACCACACCACACAACAACAATACCTATGAGAACAACCACCTCATCAAACAAAATGAGGTAGTGCTGACATACACACACACACAATTGGCAAAAGGGGCGGAGTTTGAAATGTTAACACAGTGTTTCAAACATTAATTGAATGGAATAAAAATTGAAATGGGAATTAATTTAAATGTTCAAATGCACATAGTTAATACAGAATTAAGGGATTATAATGCCCTCCATCATAAGGTGGAGTGTTTAATAAATTATCATTCCATTTATCTCGTCTCGAAGTATGTACCGGAGACCCCATATCGAAATTCAATTTTATGTCAACTTATTGAATCTGCTAGTCTCTTTAAATCGATTAAGACAGAGAATTGAAATTCATGCATTGCTACTACTGTTAGGATGTTTAGCATTGAATATGTATCGGTCCCCGTTTTGGTGTAGCTCCAAATATTTGGGATTTTTGGCCATAAAAGTGAAAAACTCATTTTTTCTGTATACTTTAAATTACCCTAATAGGTATCACTGCGACACTATATCCAAAAATTTGCACACACACCTATGTATTTTTCCATAAATTCAAAACTTTTTGTATCGTACCTTTTTCATATTCTGATAAGGTCCTTATCCAGGGTTTCCATTAAGACCCACAAAACCTTATAGATAACAACTACTAATGTCTCCATTGTGGGGAAAAATGTGCAGTTTATTGATTTAAGAGAACCCCCCCCCCCCCCCCATTCACGATTTTAATTTTTCAAGATTTTCAATGGGCTGGTAAATCAATAACAATGCTTGTTAAGGTTTGTAACTTTACAAGCATATATAGTTATATCCGATTCCAACATACTGCACCATAAGACCACCGTTTGTCCGATCCAGGAAATTTCGCACATCACACAATGACTGCTTTAGCGGCGCTAAATTCATAACTTCTAAACCAATTAAAATATTTTGCAAAAACCCAGCCTAGATCGGATCATGTTTTGCTAATGCTCCTATATAACGGTACCCCCGATTTTTAGGATTTTGACACGGTTTTCAAGCGTTCTCACTGGCTGCCAAATGTTCTGTTAATATTGGTTTTTAGGGGAAGCCCTTATATAACAGTACCCCTCAAATTTCGGAATCTTGAGAATTTTGTACGCGTTATTCCTTCGAATTGGACATAGCATCTTTGAAAGACCATTGAAATGGTAACGATGAGAAAAACATAGATATTTGAACTAAAAACAATCCGTACATATACTAATCTGGAATTTATAAAAAATTGAATGTCAATAATTTGTATGATATCGAGCAAAAAATGTGTGAGAGCTATATATAAACGGGCGTATTTGAGCAAACGTGGCATACAACATTTAGTATGCCGGAGCACAGTGCTCTATCCAAAATTAATCTCGACACAAAAGGTTCGATTTGGTACGTTGTGCACTAATTCGTACTAAGCGGACAAACTTTCGTTATTTGATACACCATTTAGATGAATTCGGATGAAAATATATATGGAAGCAATATCTAAACCTGAAACGACTTCAATCCAATGCGCTATGCAATATTTCATATAAAACGAACAGATATTTGCATGGAGCATCATTTGCATAAAATAGGAAAATATATGTGGGAACTATATCTACATCTGAACCGATTTCAACAACAAAATATCATCGGTGCCCCATTTATATAAAATCGCACGAAACTATATATGGAATATTTTTCTAAATCTGAACCGATTCCAACAAACCTTCGCATATATCGATCAGGACCTAATTCAGTACTCTGTGCAAAATTTATCTCAATCGGACCATAATTGGTAGAGTTGGGTAGTTCCGGAAAGAACTAGTTTATTGGAGCTATTCTGAGAAAGAAACGATCGGAACTAGTTCCAACTCATTAATTAATATAGTTACTTTTTCTGATCTCGTTCCTTTTTTGATCTCGTTCCTTTTTGGTATCGTTCTTTATTCTCGTTCTTTTCTCTAATCTCGTTCTTTTTTGAACTAAAAGGAACTATAAAGAGCAAAGGAACTATATGGAGCAAAGGAACTATTTGGAGAAAAGGAACTATAAAGAGCAAAGGAACTGTGTGGAGTAAAGGAACTATATGGAGCAAAAGAACTATACGGAGCAAAGGAACTATTTGGAGCAAAGGAACTATGAAGAGCATATGAACTGTATGGAGTAAAGGAACTATATGGAGCAAAGGAACTACATTAAGGAACTATTATACTTTTTAAAAAGGAACGAGAATGATCGAATGACCGCTAAGTGAACTAGATTGTCCAATTTTAATAATTGGGGGTTTGGTGCACCATTTACATCAAATCGGACGAAACTATATATGGGAGCTATATCTAAATATGAACGGATTTTCTCCAATTTCAATGAAATCGGACGAATCGGGGCTATTTCTAAATCTGAACTGATTTTCTCCAATTTCAATAGGGTTCGTCCTTAAGCCAAATAAGTGACTTGTGCCATATTTCATCTAATTCCGATCATAAATGTGACCTGAGCTTTGTTTACAATTTAAGATGGGCAGACAGATAGTTGTACGTCCGTTTGTCCTTTCATAAATCGGTTCAGAAAGTGATTCTATATTCTATCACCTGTTACAAATATGTGAATTTTAGAACACCACTTGTATAAAGTGGTATCATATAGTCGACCCTCCTTGACTTTTCGTATCCTTACTGATTATAATCACTGAACTATTTGGATTGATTTAAAACACAAATTGTAGTTTATTTTACATGCATTTTTAATCCGCAAATATTTATGAAATAAAATAAAAAAGATATTTAGAAATTTAATTCTCATTTTAAAGATGTTATAGAAACTTTAAAATAATATTTCATTACCTATCCATTTTGTTTGGGTTTGATGTATAAATACCAAACCCAATATCATCATAAAACAAAAGTTAACTAGGTAATCAAAAATATGTATGAATGTATATGTAAATCAAGATTACAAACATGATATCAAAGTTTTGTTATATTGTTTTTTATACATATAAGGTTTCATCTTAATAACTCAATTTCATATTCTATTAAATTGCCAAAAAAAAAAAAAAAAAATCACCCCAAAATGAATATTAAAGAGTCACCACTTAAACTCAAAATGTTACAGGTGGTTGAATTTGTATTTTAAGGGATGCTTTTGTTGAATTTGATTTATTTTCCACATTTGTGATGTGCTAAGAGAGATTTATACCATCGAAATAATTTGTATTTTCTTTCCATTACGCAGATTCCCTGGAAGATCAAGAGGGTGGAGCTATGTACATATCGTGCGATGTCTCAAATGGAGGTCCTGTGGAACCTGAAACGGGTTATGTTCCCAATAATCCATTATTCGGTTTGGCGTTGGATAGTCCACAGGTAATATTTTATTTGCTGTGCTAGTTATAACGGTACATATTTAACGGATACGGAATGAAACTGAAATAATTTTCACCGTCGGGAATAAGTGTTGTAAAAGTAGAGAATATTGATTGATATTGAAAGTTAAAAGGTTCGAAAGCTAATCAAACAACAGATAAAGTGATTTGTGATAAATTATAAATATATAGAAAAAATTAAATTAATTAAAAAGTGTTAGTTAACTGGTAAAGTTTTATTCGATACATTTTTGTATAAAAAATTAAATTACAATTTTGATCATAAAAAACAAAAAAAAAATCTGCAAACTGTTCAATTTTTTAATAAACGTATTATTACAAACTGATGGAAATCGTTTGGCTGCGTTTACGAAAATCGACGGAGTTTAAAGCAAGGAATATGTAATTATAGTCACCGAAGAATCAATAAAATAAATATATACTTGATTCGTCTGTCAGTCTATTGAAATCACGATAGAGCTCACAATATTTAGGATAGAATTTTAAAATTTTGCACATACATTACTACTTCTAGGAAATTTGTTATTGAAAATATTTGGTATTTTGAGGAATTTATTAAACGAATTTGTTTTTTTGGCTTCTCATATTGTACGAAGGGTAAGGGCAGCCCCCATATAAGGATAACTCCTACATTTGGGGCAGTTCATAGTATTCCGGATTCTCGTTGAGTAGAAAATTTATCTACAAAAAATATTGTTTGGTTCAAATCGGAAATTCATTCCGCCTTATATTGGATTGTGCAAAGTTTGGTTCAAATCGGACATACCATTCGATTGATATTGGATTTATAAATATTGAAAATGTTGACCACTTCCGACTTCATCTAGGCTTGTTCGAGATAATAGATTGTGCATTATTTGATTCAAATTGGACATTCCTTTCACTTAATATTGGGTTTTTAAATATTGAATATTTTGACCTTTTTGTGCGGAACTACCAGACGAAGTGAACAAATGGGTCTCATTATCGGATCTGATCTAGACTTTGTAGATATAATAGGTTGTGCAAAGTTTGGTTCAAATCGGACATTCCATTCGCCAAATTTTGGATTTATAAATGTTGAAAATGTTGACCCTTTGTGAGGTAGGTAACAGAAGGAGTGCACCAATGGGTCCCATCTTCGGACGTCATCTAGGATTGGTAACGATAATAAGTTGTACAAAGTTTGGTACAAATCGGACATACCATTCGACTGATATTTGATTTATTGATATTGAAAGTTTTGACCATTTCTGGGGAGTTGCCAGAGAAAGAAGGCCGACCGGTCCCAACTTCGGCTTTCGTCTAGGGTTGTTGGAGATAATAGATTGTGCATAGTTTAGTTCATGTCGGACATACCACTCGTCTACTATTTAATTTATAAATATTCAAAATTTTGACATTTGTTGGGGAGGTGCCAGAAGAAGAGGACCCATGGGTCCCATCTTCGGATTGATTGTACAATGTTAACCGTTTTGTGATGGAGGTAGCAGAAGTAGTGGACCGATATTCCCCATCATCGAACTTGAACAAAGTTTGGAGGAAATATTAAGATGTACAAAGTTTGGATGAAAACGGTTACTCCCTTCGGGAGTTGTCATGCGCACCAGACAGACAGGCGGTCGGACAGACGGTCATTTGTAAATCGCATCCAAATTGTGTGAAACGGATTTGGTTTTTAGAGCCCTGAGTTCTAAAACCAATATTTCGATGAGGCACATTTTCGCCATATCAAAGTGTATATACCCTCACTAGCCATAAGGCTGATTTTATAATTATAAACATCGGTCGATCTGGGAGTATAGCCACCATTCATATACATTTCCGGTCACTTTATAGGTATTTTGATAGTCGTCGTCTAATTTTACCAACAAATTGACTATATTTTAGCATTAATTTTGTCCGTAATTTGGCATTCCCGGATCTTGGTGGGCCAACAACTTCTTTATAGTCTGTATATAGCGCCCATGCAGAGATCACGCGCCATTTTCAGTATGTTCAAAGTCCAAGCCGAAATTTCCATCTTGAGTGTCTGTAGTTCAATATTTCGTTTTCTCCTGGCCGCAATTGTCCATAACATAGCCACCATATAAAAGTTCTGATCGATTTTAGGCGAATTACACTATTATATTACCAATTATTTTTCATGGGTTCAACCCCATAGATGACGGCATTTACCATCGGAATTTTAAAAGGTTGAATTTGAAGTCGTTTGACCAGATCATACGCTTCCAGTCGATTATTGACCAAATTTTCTGCTCCTTACAGTTTTTTCCGATAATACAGAATTTTCTTTTATTTACTTTCTTTTATTTATGTCGGGAACGCCTCGTGACGTCTTTCATGTATTGTCGAAAGCCATGTCCATGATCCACGCCCCAATTCCTCAAAGCTCTGTTCTAAGTTATATGATTTTTTCATTGTCAAAATTTTGAACGGGGTTTTCTTACCGATTTTTGACAATACTGACACTTATATCCATATTAGGAGGGAGAGGAATATGAATTCCTCAGCAATGTCACTGTTCCTCTGAAATTCTTAATTTAGAACATCTGCGATTTTACAAAAAATTATATATTCAAATAATTTATACATATTATTATCCATACCTCACAAACAACTCCTATAAATTAATACCCACAATTTCTTCCCCTTACAGCAAGAGTGTGCTGCCGCATCCTGTATTGGATGCCTATCGTGTCAAGGTAATACCGTCTTACCGCTATCCTCCCTGCCAAACAACGATTTCGATTGTGGTTCCTGTTTCGATCCGATCGTTGCCGTCGATCTAGGTGGCGGTGTCGTTGGACCTGCACAAAACAATTCACAAGTGATACTGAACAGCACTGGCAGCGGTGTTGGTGGCAGCAATACTTGCACATCGAATTATTGGTCCACCGACGAGATGGCATCGACATTTCCAGGACTGCCAGCTTTAGACATCGATCCCCTACCCAGCCTCTTTCCCTTCTCACCATGTGGTGCATCATACAATTTCTCCGCCAATCCACATCATCAAGCTTCACTCTCGTACACCGTACATCCCCATCAAATGTTAATATCGCCAAATAGTCATCAGCAAACAAGCTCAGCCGTTACCACGACAACGTCTGGTTCCTCAACACCCGGTTCCGGTCAACATGCAACGTCGTTATCGCACACTAATGCATTGAATTCGTCAGCATCAACGATGGCATCACAGTCATGCTACTACGATCCGATAAATGTCGGGGGAGGTGGTGGTATGTCAAATACCACGGTGGGCAATTCGTGTGCCCTACAGCATATGAATACGCAAACAGGTGCTAGTGGAGCGGCCGGTGCCGCTGCTCTATATCCCAGTATGAGTGTTAATGTCAGTATGAACATGACAATGCATGGTTATGGTGCTACCGATGCTACAATGCCAATGCAATGTTCCCAGGTAATAGTGAACAACAAATACGGGTCTAAGGCTTTTACTTAACCCACTTTGAATTATTTGTAATTACAGATGCAATGGACCCCCACAAACTCCTCATCGGCTGTTAATGTCTTATATCCTCCATTGCTAAGCCCCTCCCATTATCCGGGTGCGGCCACCTATTCCTTTACCGCCGATTTCCGTTCACCTTCATTACAATCGAATCAAAACCAGAATCACAACAATATGTTGTCCTCCCTACCCCCCGATTCTCTGGAAAAAGACTCCTCACCATCCCCAATGCCACCAACCGATGCTATATCACCAAAAAGTTTCTATGCCAGCACACAAATGGGACAAAGCTATTCCCCGCCCACAAAAAGTCCCACTCTCTTTACACAAATACGTGACACAAAACCCTACAACCAGCTGACCGGCTTGCCGATGTCATCCGGTGTGGCTAGCGGTTATGAGGATGAGGACAGCAACGAAGAAGGTTCCGAATCGAAACCGAATCTATGTCGGTTGTGTGGTAAAACCTATGCCCGACCCAGTACTCTGAAAACCCATTTGCGAACACACTCGGGCGAGCGACCCTATCGTTGTCCGGATTGTAATAAAAGTTTCTCACAGGCCGCCAATCTCACAGCTCATGTACGCACACATACTGGTCAAAAGCCATTTCGTTGCCCAATTTGTGATAGACGTTTCTCACAAAGTTCCAGTGTCACTACGCACATGAGAACCCATTCGGGTGAGCGTCCCTATCGATGTTCAGCCTGTAAGAAATCGTTTTCGGATAGTTCGACGTTGACGAAACATTTGCGTATACACAGCGGCGAAAAGCCGTATCAGTGTAAATTGTGTTTGTTGAGGTGAGTACGAAAAAAAAATATTTTAAGAAATCTTTAAAAAGTTCGGCCAGACCGGACATTTTTTACTGTATACCATTAGATGGATAATTCAAAAAATATCTAAAATCGATCGGGACTTTGATATGAAGGCTTTGGGAGGTGCATGGTCACTTGCTATGACAATAACAAACAATTAAGTGGGAAAGTTGGGCTAAGGCCTTGAACAACCCGTGGGATCCCGTTTATAAACATGGACTTAAATTTGTATATTCTGTAAAAAAAAGTTGTTAACCATCAAAATTCCGGAATGCTACTTTACAGCGATTGCGACTATACCAAAAAATTGACCTATATTTATAATATTACTAGGAACATTTTGCATCCTATAGGAACCAAAAATATACAATTACAGTAAGTTAAAACATCGGAAATTGCGGATATCGTTATATAGGACTACAAGGAAATTATGGTCAATAGTAAGAGACTTTCTATCAAATGATTGTAAAACGTGCCCAAAAATCCAATATATCGAACCTTATGGGGTGATATTGGGAGGGCTACCTCGAAACTTTAGCCAATATCGGTAATTTCTGGTAGAAAGCTTTTGCACCCACTGAGAGCAGACAATTTGGCGTGCGGTGCCTCCCAAATGTCGGTAAAAATGAGCCATATGGATCATTTTTGGTGGATAGATTTACTGCCCTATAAGTACACAAAATCCCAAATTACAGCTAATGCAGTTGTAAAATGTCCCCAAACTCCCCATAATAACAAAAATTGAGAGGTTCCCCTATATGGGTGCTTCCGTTAACAAATTATCAATTTTGACAATTTTTGGTGGGGAGATTTGTGTCACTGAGGTGGATCAGACCCTACATGGTGATGATTGAAATGACACAGCAGATACCGTGCCAGCAGGAGCTCTCTCCTCAGCATCATATTATGTTGCATGATCGATAGCATCCTGACCTTCTCATGGAAGTGATCGACGCTCTTGACACAACCCATTGTAATTCAGAGAACATTATAGCAAGCAAGGACCGCTAAGGAAGTCCTCACTAGCACTGCATTATTAAAAATTGAAGGATCCCCCAGGAGGTGCCAGCCAGGCCCTTAAGAACTTTATTCCTAGTTTTCACCTTCTGCATGATGTAATTGTAGTGTTAGGAAAAATAAAGAAGGTTATCAAAAACCACCATACAAATTTTTGGACTATGGAAGTTAGAGATACGCATACCTTCGACTGAAATGTCAAGCTCTAAATTGAATTCTCGCGGCCAGGAACTTAAAAGCGGCATGATTGACTTTGAGATGAATAATTGACTGAATTGGTGACTAATATTAACACAAGAAGAAATGGTGGTACAATCATCTGCAGTCGAGAATAATAAAATTGACAAATCAATAATCGAAACTGCATGCAAAATTTCGTGAAGACAGCTGCATCCTGTACTTTGATTACAAGTTATAATGCGTATCGATATGACGGTTCGCAAAAGCGCACACAACTTGATCGACTCCTCTAATCCGGATATGGCGAATTTATCCTCCATTCCCAGCTTTGAAGAGAATATCGAGCATATCAAGCATTTAAATGTGGTACGTGGATATAAAGTATCACATTTTGCAATATGGCGCCCAACGTATATGCCAATACAATTCGGCAAAAAAATTTTCAAACTTCTCACAAATTCGGGACGTAGCAGTGTATAGGTGTTTCCCTTAAAAAATTAGCAATTTTAATTCTTTCTGTGGGAATATTTGTTAACCAACAAAACTAAAGCTAATTCGGTCGAAAATACCAAATATTGGTTGGTACCATATTGAAACTTCCCGGAAACTTGTAAAAAAGTAACCAAACTTCAAAAAAAATTACATTTGGGATATACCCTTATTGCACTTATGCACAAAATACTACGATATCAGTGATGGCTAAACACGTTTTCTCTTTTCGTCAACACAGCCTTATAGGCAGGATACCCTAAAAACTCGATCAATATTCATAATTTTTGAGTAGGAACATTTAATAATCATAGAGACCCCAAGAAATTAAATCACAACAAATTTTTCATCTTTCATTTTTTATTTTAAAACTCTTATACCTATTAAATATATTTTGTTTTCTTTTTCCCCATCCCTTACAGGTTTTCACAATCTGGAAATTTAAATCGGCACATGCGCGTTCATTCCACCAATAATAATGGCAGCAATCTGCTAACATGACAAAAGCCACGTGGAGGAGGTGGATTTCAACACTATCATCCCCACCACAATCATCCACATGCGTACGCACATCATCATACCCAGGCAGCAGCAGCAGCCGCCGCCGCTGCTGCTGCTTCGGTCATCCATCCGGCACATCCCTTTAATGCCAGTAATTATGGCAATTATGTTAATCATTCACATTCGCATGGTCATCCAACACATCATCCGCATCATAGTCATCATCATCAGCATGGCATCGGCGAGTATGCGACACCCGGTTCACAAAACTATTCAGGATATTATTTGTGTGCTGCATTGAATAAGCCCAAATTGGAACGATTTTATTAGGTAGATATTTATGCAAAACATAAAGAGAAAAATAATTTTTAATATACATATATAAAAAAATAATTATTTATATTCAGATAAACAAATATATACATACATATGCTACAAATACATACATAAGAAATCAACGAATATACAACGGTAAAGTGAATACAAAACTTACAAAGAAAAAAGAGGAATTTTGATATAATAATTATAAATGAAAGTATATCCCTATACATACATATGTGAAAAAAAAAATTCTGAAGTGTTCTGGAAAGTATTCGGATTATATGAAGATCAGGTCTAATGTCAAAAATTTTGACTTTGTTTACGTTTTCATAATGGAAGTCAATTCACAATAATGGATTTTGACAGCAAACTTTAGAGGCAGCTGGTCTCCCTGGATGACTTTAATAATAGGTTTCGGATTGTAATTATGACCAAGGCCTATTAAAAAGGTCATCGAGAAAGATCAGCTGCTTCCCATGTTTGCTGTCAAAATTAATTATTGTGCATTAACTTCACATTATAAAAACGTAAACAACGTCGACATTTTTGACATTAAACTCAAGAAAAACAGCCCTTGAATAAGATTAAAAAGATTCAACATTTTTAAATCCTTCCAATATGTTTCAAATATTTTTTTTTTTTTAACATGGAATCTGTCCATTTTTTTGATTTTTCTGATTGAACTCGAAACCAGTAGTAGAATTTCGTAGTCATTCCAAAGTTGCAGTCGAAGTCCCATCGTCACCCACCTTTTGGGCATTTCTCTAAATCAAATATGGGAAAATCGAAAAGGAACAAAAACTTATGGCTCATGACATAAACAGCCAAGTAGCGGCGAAAGCCGTTTATCTGGCAATGAAAGATTTGTTGGCGCGGATGGACAATTCAGTGGGTTAAGAGTATAATTAAGAACATTGCTATATCCGGATATAGATCTTAGTTGGGCCAGAATGGAATAACGTCTTGAATGTCTTCTCGATATCAACTGAAGTACCGACAATTGTGTCACGGAGGCGGAACAGCCCCTACAATGTGATGATTGTTTAGACACGGCAGATAGTATGCCAGCAGGAACTGTCCTGTTAACATCTAATTATATTAAGCATCCCGCATACATGACCGAGAGCATCCCGCCCCCCTCATAGGGGTGATCGGCACTCGTCATCTGGACACAACCTATTGCAATTCAGAGAACATTTTTTGAGATGTTAGCAAGAATTACACTATGTGTCGCTATGGAAGTAAGTCCAGACTGGGGCTGCATAATTAAGGGTGGATGGTCCGATGGTCGACTGATGTCCTTACCTTTTCCCTAGAGCTTTAAGAACTTTGTTGGCTCGGGTGGACAATTAAATTGTATGGGATAAAAATTGAGAACATTGCTATATCCAGACCCTAGTTGGACCAGAATGGAACAAGTTTGTTTAAAAAGAAGTGCCTAATTGTCGAAATGGCAGGTGGATTTATAAGTTTATAGCATCGGATACCTCCTTTTGATGCACAGAAGTTCGTTATCGACGATCTGTTGACGTCCGATGAAATGACGTTTTGGATACCTTCACAATAGCACCTGAAGTACTGACGGTTGTGTCACGAAGTTGGATCAGCCCCTACAATGTGATGATTGGAATGCCACGCCAGACAGCATGCCATGACGGGATACAACTCGTTGCAATTCGTAGAGCATTATTTTGAGATGTTAGCAAGAATCTCCACTGTGTGTCGCTAAGGAAGAAACTTCAGAATGGGGCTACAAAATTAAGGATGAAGGATCGATGGTCATATGTGTCGTTAACAACGTTACCTTATCTTTGGCCCACGGAGGTGTCAGTCAGAGCTTTAAGAACTTTGTTCCTAGCTTTCACCTCCTGGATGATGTAATTGGGTGTGAGGTAAAATGAAGGAGGTTATAGAAAATCACCATGAAAAATTTTGGGTTATAGACGGTAGGGGTTTTAATTAGAGATCTCGCGTCCAGGAAGTGGATAATTGAATATTCAAATCCCGGAAGAAGTTAGTGGTGGTGGCTAATATAAAGATCTGAAGAACGCCTAATGATACAATCATCTGCAGACGAGGGTAATGTATAAGCACGCCGCAAATTGACAAATCAAGACCTGCTAATATTATCTTTAGGTAGAAATGGATCTGCATGCAAAATTTCTTGAATAGATGGGGCCTGTACAGCTTGATCAACTCGACTAGTCAAGATATGACGAAATGTATTTTCTGCAGCCATCTTTTAAAATAATATGCAGTATATCAACAATTAAAATGTGAAACGTGGACAGGGAGAATCACATTTTGCAATATGGCGCCCAACAGATATACATACCGTTATATTTCACCTTTAATAAAAATCCTAATAAATCCAGTTCGAGATGATTATGAGGAACTAAATGAGAATAAATATTTGCTTAAATTCTTGAATATTGCATTGTAATATCAACGATTTTTGTGACCCTCATAAATAAAACAATGGAATTAGGTAGGGTGTTGGCAGACTTTATTGATTTCACGGACATAAAACGAAACTTATGACACTATCGAATACATTTTACAAACTGGCGGCGATACTTATTAGAAACTGAGAAACTCTATCTAGTTACATCTTATATACATTCGTAGCTTATTCTAGAACCTTCATACTGTAGATCATTCTTAGTGATTACTTACATTTATTTCCTATGATCTAAAGTAAACATTAATTGCGTATCGTAAATGATTAATGTATGGATCTCCATTAACATAAAATATATGTGTTGCCAATTATGTAATCAATCACAATATTCAACAAAACGTTTCCCAAATTCCGGAAAGAATTTCATATAACAATATTTTATTCAATTCATGTATATACAATTTTAATATCAACGATCAATAAATAAAATATATGGTGGGTGGACGAAGAACTGTAATTATTAACGTATCGTCATTAGTTAGAACCGGACAATTATAATTTGATTACAAGGTATAATGCACAGACTGTCCGGCGAAACTTACTCGATTCGCCTAGTCAATATATTCTATAGCTGTGTCTAAGACCAATATTTCTTGGTGTTACAAATTTGCCTTGCTGAGAATCGACTCAGATTAAGGTATAGCTTCCAATCATTTAAATGTTACAGACATAGTAAGTTCCTGTCCGATGGAAATAATTGTTGAGGCGAACATAATTATTATGCCTTATAATATGAAAACTAAAAGCATCTTCTCGAATTTAGTTCTTTCCCGAAGTATTTTGTCAAGCATTTCTCCACCAAACTCTACAGATTTGCAAAACACCGAATCCGAACACTTCAGAAATTCAAATACAAAAAATCTCCAAATTATTTTATGTATTGATTAGCGTTAATGCTCAAAATCGAATTGTATTTCAAAATCAAAAAAGGTTCTTTTTTAAGTGTTAAGCATTAGATGTAAGCTCTCAAAAACAACCCCTGTAAATATAGCATAATATATTTTAAAATACTTTTACAAAATTAAATGATTGTTAATATTTTTTTTAAAATTCGAAAGATTACCCAGTACTAGAGTAAGTCAAAAATAAAAAATAGTTTCATAAAATTTAAAAATTTATTAATTGTATTTGTCAACCAAAATTGTAATTAGGCCTTAAGTTTTGTAGCAAAAAAGTAAATAAAAAGAAAACATTTAAATTTAAACAACAACAAAAAACACGCATAATACAATGAAACAAACAACAAATGCAACACACAGAAACAAAAAATCTTACATAATACAATTCACATGTACGTATTTGTTTTATCTTAGTGTCTTTCTGTCCATTTGAGTCACCTATAATATCTACACTCACCCCTCTACATGGATATATACATAATTTATATGGTGAAAATAACAATGATTATTATCATAATAAAGTATAATTTTTTATAGTTTTAAGTCAGGGTGCTTCAAACGTCGTATTTCAATTTCATTCTAACTTTAATAAAACAACCAATCAACAACACATACATATGTCAAAGCTAGAATTTCCAATCTCTAGTCAATCTTTAAGCTTAAAACAAATATTCTTTTAAACTTTTTTTTATTATTAATGTAAAGTGAGAAATATACATACCTACATATAAATAAAAATATCGATTTTAATTAATTAAGACAAAACATTCCTTTCAAATAAATATTGGTGTTTTTTATTAAATTATCAGATGTGGGAAGAAGTTCGAAGTGAAGTACTAAAATATGTTTTGTAAATATGGAAATGGCGCCCAAGGACACTTATTTTATTAATTTACTTCATAAACGCATTATTCTTATAAGAAACTTATACGGCCTAGCTTTTTCAAAATACTCACCTTATTCCCATAGCAATAACAAGTAAACCCCGTATTTTTTAAATACAGGGTTATCTATTTCGTGGTGTAGCCCCATGAAAAATGTGAAATTATGCGGCCACAAAATATTTCATGAAATAATGTCATATTCGCTCGAGTTGTTTGGCATGTGGCACCATCTTCTTGAAACAATATGTGGTCGTATTCTTCAAAAGCAGGATGTCGTATCGTATACAATGGGAGGAAAAAACTCGTTTATCCTATGACCATAACGCTCCGAATTCATGGTGACAGTCGTTCCAATGCCATTTTCGAAGAAGTGAGGATCAGTCACAACTTCGGACAACAGAGCAGGCCAAACAATGACTTTTCAGGATGTAATGACCTCTCTTCAATTACTTTAGTATTCTCAGAACACCCAATTCGACAATTTTTTTATTAACATATTCACTGCCTGTTTTTCGAGCACTCATCCCACGTAAATACGACTT